GGGTAAACCCCAAAAGTCTCTGACCCAGATATGGACTGAAAGGACGAGGATGAAAGCGAGGAGAATCTTGGCGGACATCCTCTTTTTAACAGGTTTGAACTTCTGAAGTCTGGGAGGTGCTTCAGAACCCCTCTGGTCAAAGGTGTCTCTAAGAAGTCTTTCATCCCAAACACCACTGGGCTTCTTAGTTCAACAAAGTGACCAACCCACATAGAACCTGAACTGCTATTTTACTGTCTCATTCTTTTTTATTGTTCTATTGTAGGCTACCTATACAATGTACTGCTGTGTGTCTGCATGTATGTCATGATGATCTACTGTGCTGGTTCCAGCCGAAGACAATTTTCCATCTTGGTGGACAATAAAGTTTTATTCTATTGAATATTTTAACATTTTTTATCTTCCACCATCAGATCACCAAATGGTCTGCACTTACTTCATTTGTCCAAAACCTGGTTTATTTGATCAGCATTTGTGGGTTAAGTTCTATTTAGCAAATGCTAAAATTCTGTCCATGACCTGCTATAATGTGAATCAGCGTGTTAGCATGAGGCTACATGTTAGCATGCAGCTACATGTCAGCATGAGGCTACATGTTAGCATGCGGCTACATGTTAGCATACGGCTACATGTTAGCATGCGGCTACATGTTAGCATGCAGCTACATGTTAGCTTGCAGCTACATGTTAGCATGCAGCTACATGCAACAATGCCTGCAGTCTCATAAAGCTGCTCTTAAGTCTTCTTATTTATTTATTCATTTTTTAAGGGTTTTTTTTTTGGCCTTTTTGCCTTTATTGGATAGGTTGAAAGAGAGACAGGAAAGTGGGGGAGGAGAATGCACTTTGCGTTGCTGTAGTGCATGAAAGTACTATATAAATTAAATTGGATTTGACTTGAATGGGGGACGGGGTTGCAGCAAAGGGCCATGAGTGTGATTCGAACCCATGGACGCTGCATCAGAGACTAAAACCCCTGTAACATGGGTCGCCAGCTCAACCAGGTGAGCTAAAGCGGTGGCCCTGTTTGTCTGTTTTTAATGTTAAAAAATGTGTTTTGTTTCATCTTAATCACGTCTTCCTGGATCCATCACAACCCTTGTTGAAGCTTCAGACTGTCGGTGCATTCTGTTGTTTTATGTTGAGGTTAAATCGCAGATATTCTAACATGTGGGAGCTCATGATGCACGTTAGAGGTTTTTATTCTTATTTTGCTCTAAACCATTTTATCTGGGTTTTAAATGCAACATATCGTTGAAACTGGAAATGAGAACGGGTCTGTGCCGTGTCCTCGTGCTTCACATCCTGATGAAGGAGGAAAGATAAGAAAAGAAAAACCTTTGAAAACGAAGGCCATCGTCTTCAAAAAAAGAAACCGCAATATCCCAGCAAATATCAAAAAAAAAATAAAGATATGGGACAATAAAAGCAGATAGCAGTCTCATAAAAATCAAGCACATTTCTATAATTAAAATGATTTTTTAGCTGGAATTTTACATAAGATCATGTAATATTTTAGGGGGGATTTTTGATGTGGGATGAAGAAAAACAAGTAAATTATCTGCAAAATTTCCAAACCAATAATTTTACAAGATAGCTCTCATTTAACAAATTAATATATAAAAAAAACAAACTACTACTTAATCACTAATGTCGTCTAACTTTAGCAACATATGTACAGAATTAAACCTGAATTCAACTCTTTCTTCTATTAAATAAGACGGAACTATCTGTGAAATTCTGATAAATTTGCCAACTTCAGTCTTTTAACATCAAAACTTTGAAAGTTTTCTAATTAAAAAGTGACATTTTATGGTTATTTACAGTCACAGGTTTTCAATTATTTTACATTTGAGACTGAATCTGTAGAATAAAAAGGAAAACTTCTATGAAATTGCTCATTTCTTTTTACAGTACATGTTTATACACATCCAATATTCCAGCGGAGGTAAGAGACGGGTAATAAAGTGGAGCCGTGATGGGAGCAGCGAGGGAGCGTACCTCTGTGTCGACCTGTTTGATGGATGCAAAATGTCACTTCTTCTTGCTCTTATGTCTCGTCCTCCTGGGGAAAGCAAAACGTCTCTCACAGAAACACGCTTATGGGATGTCACGTAGGTGCAGGAGCAATTTCCCTCCTGTCACTTCATCACAGCAGATGGTGGTGATTTTTCTCAAGCTGGATTCCAGAAGTTATTTCCTCTCACAAGTGTTGTCTGATGGGAAAAAGAAAAAAAAAAAACAGCCTTTTTCCTTAACATCTAGAACAAATGCACATCCTGGTTCTATCATTCCACCAGCGACGTTTAGTGCAGCTTCTCTTCTGTCTCCCCCCTTCCTCACCTCCCTCCCCTCTACCTTGTCAACAACTTTCACTCTCCTCCCTCCTTCTCTATGTAACCGACAATAGTGGGGACAAAGAAAAGAAATATCCACCCCCCTTATCTTCAGATCCCTCTTCCTCCTTCTCTCCCTCCTTTCATTGTGAGTGGCAGCCAGTGAGATGGGCGCTTGACAAAAAGCAATGCGAGACGGGGCAAAAATATTAAAATATTCATGGGTGCCTGCAGTCGGCCCCTTCATGGGCGATGACCTCCACGCAGCCCTCTGTGCACACACAGGCTCACCGGCCGACATGTGCAGAGCTCAGCTGGTGTCAGTAGTAACAGCGTTTTAGACCATCCATGGTAAGATAACAGGTATTAATGCATCAGGTCAGAGGACATTACCTTTACTTACATCCTGGAGACTTCTTCAAAGCCAACACTGTAGAACTAAAATTTAAATATATCTATATGTGGAGTTTTTTTTTGCAAACAGACAATTTTTTTTTTTTTGGTTTCGTTTTTTTTTTTTTTTTGTTTGCTTTCGTTTCTGTCAGTCTTACTGTGGTTGGGTTGGTTTGAGTCGGTATGACTGACATCGATATAGATTAGTTTTGTTTGATTTCTTTTGTGTTAGGTGGTGGATGGGTGGGTTTTTTTTCTGTTTGTTTGTGTGGATTTATTTGTTTGTTTGTGTGAATTCTTTCTTTCTATATCTTTTTTTACATTTTTTTTTTATTTTTGTTGTTCTTCCAGGTGGTGGGCCACCATGATTTGTTTTTTTTGTTGTTCATGCTAAGCGTCAGCCGCCCAGTTGTTTTTTTTTGTTTTTTTTTTGCTGTTTTTTTGTGGTTTTTTTACTATTATTGGTGTACTGGTTTTTTTTGTTTTGTGCTACTGTTGTTGTTTTTTTTTTTTTTTTTTTTTTTTAATATACACTCTAATGTATTTACTGTATTTTTCTGTTCAAAAACTGGAATTTTTTTTTCATTAAATTACAAGAAGTAAATCAATAAATATAATAAATTGAAAAAAAAACTGCTATTTGATGTAGATGCATTAAATGTTGTTTCAAAGTTTTTAAGGTACTATTTTTTTTCAATTTGACTTTTTCTTTGAGTGAAACTTTTTGTTTATCATCATTAATTGTATCTAAATTTATAATTGTATTTATAGAATTAATTTAACAATTTCATCTGTTTAATAAAGGAAAAAATAGTAACATGAGTTTTTTGTGAAAAAAATTTAAACATTTAAATTCAGCTTATTTTTTGTATTTTTGTAGGTATTTTACTGCGTTTCAAAAATACAGAAATAAGTAAAATAAAATCAATGAAATTCCAGTAAATTACTTCTTAACCTAAACCTAACCTTCAAACAAGTCTTCACCCTTCAAACTGATGACCTACAATAAGACAACTTGCTATTTGACCCCACCGTTTATCTGACATCCACATTTAAATTCCTGGCAGGTGAATCAACGCACGCCGACATGTTCTAACCTACAGCACGTGACATTTAACGTGGCCGAGGTGAACATTCTGCTAACCGTCCCACACTCCGTCTGACACATTTGCATGTTACGCAGACAAACACGCACGCAGCAAATATGCAAATAGTTGTGCACACGGGCCAAAATCAACCTGCCACTTAGGCTGCATTAGCATTTTATATCACATTCATCTCCAGCGCTTAATTCAGGGAATACATAATACATGGACACAGTATAATTAGAGAATAAATGGTAATATGAATACTCACCTTTGACCGGCTGCACTTTTTATTTTATTTTGTGTATAGAGGGGCGTCCCAGGACAATCTGTTGGGATACTTTGGTTCTGCAAAAACTGGTCACATCGACCTAACATCAATGCCAACTGCTGCAGGGTTTGTAGCAGCTACTAAATGGAAAGTTGGTGTTTTTTTAAAGTATAATATCATGCATCCTCTCCCAGCTTTAGATCTGCCACCATATCAGGATGATGCTGTTATTGGAGGAAAAAGCGTGATTTCCTTGAAGCAATCTGGATTTAAATGCCTTGTTTAAGGGCACATCTGGAGGAGATAACTGGAGGAGGTACAGGGTATTCATCCCCCTCCATTAAAGAAAAGGCAAAATTCACAATAGTCACTCAAATAAGTAGAAACTGAAAAAAGTAATAATAAATAAAAATTTGCTAAATTATAATTTAGTGAAATAAGATGTTGCTTTTCAATTGTGGTTGAAAAGAAAAATTAAAAAATAAATAAATATATGAATAAAACCGGCAGAAGTCTGACTGAGAGTTACATAAAACACTTGATTGGCTCAAAGGGTGGTTCAACTAAATATTAGTTTACAGGTTCCATCATGCTTGTTTGCTTGTTTTTAGGGTCAGCTGTTGTCGTCCTTCTTTAACGGGAGGGTATGAATACATCTGAGGACGACTGTAGGCGAGATTTAAACCACAAATTTCAAACTACTTGGCAGACTTTCGGTATTTGGTTCGGTTCTTTAGTGAAAATGGAGTCCCAAGGCCTTCCTCAAAGTGGGGCCTCATTTCCTGGCTGGATGAGACGTAACATACAGTACAAAAATAACCGCAGTCGTTTCAGCCATCTCCGTGTTTGTGTGCCGCTACTCCCCCGATGGAGGCCACAGATGGCACAAACACAGCAGAGATGGTTTTAATGTTCTCTTAAAACCGCCGTGACATCTTCAGGTTTTACCATCATGAGCGCTAAATGCTTTTAGCGTGTTGCTACTGCTCGCACTCCTTTGGTTCTTTCGGGCCGCTAGAAATAGACGAGCTAATCCACGCCGATCGGCCTGAAAGCACCGACAGATGAAGTATTAATTATCTTATTACAGTGGCGCCTGTCGAGAGGTGGAATAAATCAGGCAACAAGTGGAAAGTCGGTTCTCAAAGTGGATGTCGTAAAAGCAGGAAAAATCAAAAAGCCTAAAGAGCTGAGCAGCTTTGACAAGAGCCAGAAACAAACATTTTGATGATTAACAGAAAAAAAAACATGCAAAATAAATTAAAAGTTATGTTGTTGTATTCGATGATGTATAACTTCCTTCTTTTTTCAACCAATAGGCTTTAAGTAAGTTTATCTTACAGCACATTACTGCTGACAAAATCTCCTTTTGTCACCTTTATCATGTTTTACTCCGTACTGCCATTTGAAATAAAGGCGTTAAACTTTAAAATGTGCCGTGAGTGTTGTTTGTATACGGAAGAGGATTAGGGCCACTGAAGAAAAAAAAAATAAAATTCTGAGATTAAAGTCAGAATTCTGACTTTTTTCCAGAACATTAAAAAAAAAAAAAAAATTCTGGGAGATTTTTTTTTTTAATCTCTGAAAAAAGTCAGAATTCTGAGAAAAAAGTCAGAATACTGAGATTAAAATCGGAATTCTGACTTTTTTTTCCAGAACATTAAAATAAAAAATAATCCCGGGCGATTTTTTTTTTCAATTTCTGAAAAAAAAAAAGTGAGAATTCTGACTTTCATCTCAGAATTCGGACTTTTTTTTTCTCAGAATTTTATCATTTTTTTCTTCAGTGGTCCTAATCCTCTTCCGTATTTGTAGGAAACTTACAAACTTAAAATTTTTGGTGCTGAGACTATTTTTTTTTTTTTTTACCTCTGCTGAAGCATCCAAAGAGCATCTGTGTGTGATCACTAAAAAGATCCAGCAGCTCTTCTATTCAGAACTTTCATAACTGCAATACAAAAAAAATTTAAGAAAGATGGAGAATAAATAAACTTTATTTTAAAAAATTACCAAAGTAAAACTGAATTAATATCAACTGATCCAGCTGCAGTCGAGAAAATTTACAAATGATTTTACACATAATTTAAAAATGTGAAAAAGGCTTTTGGTTCCATTTGTGTCGACTATTTTCTTGGAGTCACTTTAACTCGCTGGTTCACTTCTTCCTTCTTGCCTCGGCTCTCTCCCCACATCTCTTCATCCGTCTCTACGTTTCGGACTCGCAGCAGCTGGAAGCCCTGACCGCAGACCAGCACACATCCCACCTCCGCTCTGCTGCTCCTGCTCCTACAGGAAACCTTCAAACCTGCCTCAGTGTTTACGTCACTTGTTGTCTCACCTACGCTGTTGTTCTGGGTTTGATTTCCCGGATAAGCGGTCGTCTCGCCTTGTTTGTCGCCGCTGGTCCTACAAACTGCGTTATCGGCCTCAACAGGTTCTCTACCAGCTGTTTCCTCTAATCCTCCCTGCCTCTGTTTTCCTCCCAAAATTGCAATCTCCTGCTCAAATCCCGTCGTCCCCTTTTCACCTCCCTCCCACACTGCGAGTCCTGCAGCGTCCGCAACGTGGGAGAACAGCGCCCCGCGGTGGCTGATGCCGGCACCGCAGACCTTCCACAGGCAAACCCTCTGATCCGAGGATGTGGAGACCACGAGGCCGGGGCTCAGGAGCTTCAGGGCGGTCAGGGGGGCAGCGTGGGCCAGCGGGATGCTGGACTGGTGGTGGAGGTGAAGCTGAAGCTGGTTTAGGACCTGAATCTGTGTTTGGGACTCGGCAATGTGAGAAAACCCTCTGCTGCCTCCAGTCCTCCCTTCCTCTGGGTACTGCACCCTAATTGTGGACACTGTCAGCTGCCCATCATCCCCTCCGCTAGCAACAGTTACCAGGCAACCGTCCTCTTGTTGTCCCGGCTCCTCCGCCCAAACAGCCAATGAGTTGACGCCGCTCTGGTGGGCGGGGATGTCGAGGCAGGGGATTGGTGGAGCTGCAGCGCCACTCGAACTGTCCGCAGATGAGGCTGAAGCTTCAGTCAAATGCCACACTGCAATTTTCCCGTCCGTCGCAGCGCTGAACAGCAGCTTATACCTGAGAGAGAGGCGCAGTTTGATATAAACCCAACACAAAGAAATGCTTTCCTCATACTTCAACAAAAACATCTGACGTCCGAATATTTACCACTCGGTCACGACTCTTTTCGAAAATATTGTTCTTTAAAATGACCAAAATCTAAAAACAGCCATTGGTCTAGTTGACAAAGTGCCAAAATTGACCAAGTTCAGGTTATATAAAATAAAGTCACAAGCCTCACCTGTTGCCTTTGTCATCCTGCAGACTGCAGGTGGCGACACTGAGCACACAGCGCTGGTGGTAAAACGTCTCCCACAGCAAATCGATTTTATTTTTCACTTCACTGACTGAAAACAATCTGGAAGAGACAGTAACAGAGGAGAGGAAGCAGAATAAGAAAGAGTGGTAACACAACTAAAAGAGCTCACAATAAAATAAAATGGCACAGCAATAGAACATTTACGATTAACGAGCTCAGTGCTGGGACACATGACATCCCATCACTCCTATTTTTTAAGAAAATAAATGTATGATATCTGTATGTTTTATGTGAATATAATCGGGCTGAAGGATCTCACTCTGTTTTTTTCTAAATTTGCAAAAGTCTAATTGTCACACAACGTAAAGGCTTGTAGTTATTTGGAACCACGTTTAGGTTGTTTTCATTCCATAACAATTATCATCACTGAATAAAATATTCATCTGAGAGCTTTAAAGCAAATGAAAAACACTAAATCAGCTCTCAAAAGCTGTTTTCAGATGAGTGATGACGGACACCAACCTGACAGCTCCGTCACTGCAGGACAGAGCCAGAAGAACACAGTCGGCCTTTTCATCCACCACGGCGACAGACATGTACCTAAAAACACACAGAGGCAGCGGTGAACACTCATCAGAGGTAGATTTAAAGAAAAATAATAACATTCAGTCGAAAAACAAAGAAAAAAACAACTGTAAAATAATTGACGATAGCCTCTCATAAATTCTCATGAATTAAATCTAATTTTTTTTATCCTCATGTTAGACTATTTTCTTTAATATTTAATAAAGAACATGAATGCATAAGTAGGTAGATAGATATACCAGCATACACCATTGACAACTGACCAATTTCATAGTTTTATTATGAAGACATCTGTAGCTAAATAAGACTTCTCTCAACAAATAAATGTAAAATTACTGAATCAAGACTTACTGTCAATTGTCACTCATTGCATGTCATAGTAAAATTAGATATTTTGAATTAAACTTGTATTTAATAGTTTAATGTTACATCAAGAGGAAACTTTTGTAAAGTGATGATAAATTTGCAAATGTGTGTATTTTTATGTCAACAAAATTAAATTTTATTTAAAATATTTTTACAGTTATTAACAGCTACAGGTTTTTAATGTAATACTACATTAGACATTAAATTACTGGGTTGATTTTTGTAATTTTGTTGATATTTTTGTGGCTTTAAAAAGGAAAAAAACACTTTTTTAATAGTGAAGCTGATTGTCTTTAGAACTGTCACAACACGTCTTCATGTCAAAATCATAAAAACTAATGCACACATAAAACCCTTTTTAAATTTTTTTGTTTTAATTAAGAAGGATGCTGGAGCGAAGATGGACGTGAGGAGACATCAGCTCATCAACAATCCATATTTCTATGATACTTAATTTACAGGTTATTCACATACGTTCACCTCTGCTTCATAACAACTAACTTATAACTCAACAATTATATCAGAACTTACCTTGTTTCTGGGTCCATTTTCACCGTCTTGTGTCGGTTCCGCCTCCTCTCCCACTGTTCGTCCAATCGGTGACTGGCCACCTGGATCACCTGACAGGAAGGAGCCAGTCTCTGTTTGTCCCACGCCACCAGCAGCCGGTAACACTGGATCTGAGCTCGGCCTCCGGCGGACACCAGCAGCGCAGAGAGACTGTTTGTCTGGTTTCCACCTCCTCCGTCTGGACGCGTCACTGCTGCCACCGTGCGAACGCTCGAGATGTGGTCGGTAATGACGGAGAGAACTTTGACGCTGCCAGAAGTGGGATTTATTGCCAGGACGCTCAAGCTAGTGTCCTCTCCTCCCGTCACCGCTATCTCCCACAGCACTTCCTCTCTCATTTCCACCTCATCTCCTTTAATTTCACTTGTATTTCCAGGACACTCCCCCACCCTCCCCAGCCTGCACACACATCCAATCCCCCTCCCGTGGACGCCCTCTCTCAGGCTCCACCCTCCGGTCCCTCCTGCCCTCCCGGCCCAGCCCAGCGCCTCTCCAGGGGGTTGTGAAACCAGCACAGAGCCCTGCTTGATGAAGACCAAAGCTCCATATCCGGGCCAGACCCCCGTGTGGGACGGCCAGAGGCTCCAGGAGCGATGCCCCCCACCACAGGGCACCACTAGCAGCCTCTCCTGTCGCACCGGGTCCCAAACCACAAAGTGGACCGCGTGGAAGCCAACGATGACAAATCTGGCCTCCCTTCCCTTGTTTTCTTCCTCTCTGACCTCATCCTCCTCCTCCTCATCAGCTGGGAGTTCAGGTTGAAGAAACAGAATCCTCTCCAGCCACTCCATACCCTTACAGGCCCGCTGGACTCTCAGAACCTCCAGCTGAAGCCCTTCTTTGCTCTCTACACTCTTTCCAATACAGTTTAGTTTACTCTCATCGGGTTTTTCTGCTGTTGTCTGATGCACTCTGAACACCCTCACACAGCCGTCCCTCCCGGTGCTGTACAGCAGTCCGTGGTACTCACACAATGAGGTGACACCCTGCTTTCCATGCACTCCAAACAAACAGCTCAGCAGCTGCAGCTTTAGTTCCTGCACTTTCCCACCTCCGCTGCTTCCACTTTCCTCAGCTTCCTCTTCGTTATCACCAGTTTGCTTCCCGTCTCTGAGCTCACCTTCACTCATCTCCTCATCATCATCATCTCCCGTCTTCGGCTCTGATTTTTCCTGAAACAAAAGCAAGGATCCTCTCCTGTCTCCGCACACCCAAAGCACCTCCTGTGACCTGGACTGGAGGCCCACTGCAGCTGTAAGCCAACGCTTCGCACAAGGAGGAAGGAGGAAAGGAGGAAGAGGATCTACGCTGAGAGCTAAGGAGTCGTGTTCATCAAGTTTTACGTCTATACACCAGCGATAGACAAGTCCTTCAGCGCCCGATGCGAGCAAATGCACACTTTCTTTCCCCTTGTGCCAAATCAGACTGTGGATCTTTCCTGCTCCACATGTAAGAAGAACCCCAGACTGAGGATGAGAAGTCAGAAACACCTGTAGGGACCCGGTGAGGTTTCCCACAGCACACAAGTGAACTCTGGCACTTGAGTTTTTCACACGTACAGTTACTGTTTCCATCACACAGTAGGACTGGAACTCCGGAGTCCCCTGCCACACCGTCTCCCACTTCCCATCACTGTACTGGCAAACTATTCCTCTGTCGGTGCAGACCACAAACTTAGTCCGACTCCAGCTTGTGTTTTCATCCTCTTCGACTGCTATACAAACTGCTTTAGGCAGGCCTTGACTGGGAAATTTCAGATCAGTTAGCTTGTCTGTCGCTGCCTCCTCCATACTATCCTGCTTCCCTTCACTGTCCTCCACCTTCCACAGCCTCACCCCTCCATCTGCTCCCCCTGTCGCCACCCACCTCTCTTCATTTCCTGCTCCCTCGCTGACCGCCAGTGCGCGAACCCCTCCAGCTCGATGTCCCTTCAACGTGCGAACCACCTTCCCATCTGCAGCCCAGTCCCAGACTAAACAGGCCCCGTCTTCGCCAGCACTGAACACTTTCCCTGGAGAGAGACGCACTGAGAACACCCGGGCCTGGTGTCCATATAGGACCCGTAAACAAGCCGGGTTCAAGTCCCCACATTTCCCCCCGGGGCCGCCCAAAGCACCAACGCCCCAAATCCGAACGCTGCGGTCATCAGAGGCCGAAGCCAGATATCCTTTCTCCTGGAGGTAAGAAATACTGAAGATGACCCCGGTGTGGCCCAACAGGCGCCGCTCAACTGGAGCTTTGTGATCAGAATCACTGCTTTTGTCTCCCGGCTTCCAGACAACCAGCTGGTTGAAAACAGTCCCTCCTACTAAGATGGTGTCAGTCCAGGATTCATGCACCAGAAGGAGGGCAGAGTACAGCAGACACCCCTCCAGACAGGAGCGCTGAGCCAAGGCATTTCCTGTATCGACGTCCAGGAGAAGAGCACTGTTGTGGGCTACAGCCACACAGAGCAGCGGCTGTTTGTCTCCAGGGAGCCATCGGACATCCAGGGCCCAGTCCTGCAGCTCCATGAGGGGACCAAGGATCTCCAAATGAGGATGATTTCCATCCTGAAGAGCCACGTGGAGCCTCACCAGCCGCACAGCCTTCCCTCCAAATACTGCCAAGTCATAGAAGCTGCGCTCTGCAGGGGACAAGCATTTAAGAGTGTGAAGAAACACAAATAACTAATCTGCAAATATAATAAGATGCTGTCAGAGACTGACGGTTACTTATAGCCACTACAGCCGAAGATAACATCCCTACCACCTGAATTTAATGTAAACACCTCCAAACTTAGCTTTAATATTTAGATTTTATCCTCATTGATCCATTAAATAATGCAAACATTTCTGAGGCTCAACACCAAAATCATCTACAGCATTCTAGGCTCAAGACTTGCATGCCCATTTTGTTTCATTCAAATTAATTTTTTATACATCCTGACATAAATAAAGAAAAAAACTCCCTAAACACAACAGACAACATTCATTTTTAAAGAAGATGAAAACAGAACATCTGCAGATACGAACCATGTTTCTTCTCTCTCTGGACCGCTGTGGCAGAGCTCTGAGCTGGTTGACTTCTGGGTCTTATTCCGTGGATTCTGTAGTGTTGGAGGACACGCAGTGATGCGCAGACTTTAGGACGAGGCTGAAGGCTGTACACTGACAGGACTGGACCCTCACCTGCCAGGAAGGAAAAAGTTAATATGTGTTTGTAGTGTGATTTTTAGAGAGGTTTTTGAGTCTACGTTCAAATGAACAAATATAGTCAGTATAGGTTAATAGTGATAACAGAATGTCATATAGGTCATAATGTTGCAAACCACATTTAAAGATCCCATATTGTTCCCCTTTTAATCAAATCAATGAAAGTCTCACATGTATCCAGAACGTGTCTTTTAATATTCCAGCTCTAATTACTGCAAAGATGGTTCATTTCACCATTACTGTATAACTCCCGCTTTTAGTCCTGTTCTGAGCAGGCTGTTATTACTGTTTCAGAGAGGAAAGTTACCCACTCAGTCCTTGTTTGTTGGTTTTATATCTATCCTAGTGTTTTCATCATCTCTAAATGTCCACCAGTTTTACAGTTTCCAAAGAGCTCTGACCTGTGGTCAGGCCTACGATCTAAACTAATGGTAATGGACACATTAGGTGCACAGCCTGCTAAAACTAACTATTACAAAAGAAAAAGAAAAAGATATTGAAAAGAATCCACAAGATCTTTAGTTCCTTAGATGATGGGAGTGCATGAATACTTGTATGTTCACTCTTACAACCAACAGCAGAACATTAGTTGTACTTTACTTGTGGCTGAGGCATTATTGAGTTTGCAGAAGCAGCTCAACTATGGAGCTAAAAATTCCTCCCCTCCACGGGAAAAGAGAGACAGAAAGTTGTCATTGAAAACTGAACTTTGAAACATAAAATAAAATTTTAAAAAAAAGACAAAAAAAAGAAAAAATCTTTAAAAGCACAGACATGAAGAAAAACTTTGAAAATTGCTTTTAATGACAAATTTAATTTTTAATGACAAATTCTTCTTTTTCAATGACACCCTATACTGTCTCTCTTTTAGCTCGATACTCAAAAAAGAAAGTAAACCTGGTGGAGGCAGCTGAAGAATGGCAGAAGTAAACCTCTTCATATACAATCAACTTTCATTTTACACCTCTAAATATATAACAACCACAAAAGGCAACAAAATGCATTTTCAACATATGAGACCTTAACATATTCTGTACTGTTTTTTGTTTTTTTTTACTCTTTTGTGGTGAAACAAATACAAGTGTATATCTGTATCAGTCATCATGGATAGGAAAACACTGACACAAATCAGCACATCACTAGATAATCACGTGTATGCTGATTGTAAACAGTGCTGCTTACCTGTCAGTAGAAACTCGTCCTGTAAAAACTCCAAACCAGTGACTGGAGCAACCAGGGCGACTGTCTCCATCTCTTGATGACTAACAACTTTCACTGAAGACACATTATGAACCTGAAAGATATAAAATTACAACTTATTCCTCACACTTGTCAAATATGGTAGAGCCAGAGAAGTTGGCAAACGGGCGATGTGGTCAGCTGGCGTTTCGAAAATTGAAATATTCACAAAGTCGACAGTTGAGTAGACTGACTGTTAGCATTCGGTTAGCAAAACATGCTAACAACCAGCGCACATTTAGTGTTTTTTCAGTAAAAAGTACGTGAAACAAAAATGACAAGTAATTTTTCTGGGTAAATAAAAATGTCGCTACATGCTTACTTGCACAGAGCGTGAATTCCTCCTGAACCGTGCTTCAAATCTCAATGAATTCATCTGCACTTCAGAGCAGCATCCTGGTAGCCATGTGTTTGTCTTCCGTATCGCCCTCCACGTTTCAACCAATCAGGTTACACCATCGGCTTCGTGGTCGCTGATTGGTTAGCTTGACAAGACTGTTGTGCTTTGATTGGTTAAAACAACACATGTGACAGACAGTGGTTGAGTTGTGCTGCCTTTATGCGTTTTCTGTAAAACTGCAGTTTTTTGCTTCGTTCCCGGGCGTTTTGGTTTAAATTTTTTGCTTTATGTTTTTTTTTTTTTTTTTGGACTTTTTTTTTTAGCTTTATTTGTTCCCGGAATTGCTTTATTTTTTTTGTTCCGTGGGCGGAGCCGTTGGGGTTTCTTTTTTTCTTTTTTTGGGCATTTTTTTAATTTCTTCTTTAAAAGTTCTTTTGATTTTTTCATTTTCCAAAGGTTGTTTTTGGGCCCTTTTTTGGTTTATTGCCAAAAATAACATTATATTACACGGAGTGATTCAAACGAACATGCGCACTTGCCCGATTCTTTACCGGATTTTTGGGGGAGCCTTGAACGCATCAGCAGTCTGTCGAAGGTAAGAGGTTGGCCGTTAGGTAGCGGTCCAGCTAACTTTACAGCTAACTATGCCTGGGAAATGCAAATTCCAGGACTCCTGGCTCGCAAAGGACATCTACAAGGAATGGCTGGTTAAGGACGGCCAGGACATTCACTTCGCCCGCTGCCGGGCCTGTTGTAAATCCATCAAACTTCAGACGATGGGCGAGGCAGCCCTCACCAGCCACGCAGGGGGAGCTGGCCACAAAGCGGCGGTCCGCAAGCTAGTGGAAGGTCGGTTAGTTGGAATTTGTAAATGTCAAGAATGAAAAGAGCACACCGGAGATTATTGAGAAGTGGTTTTGGTTCGTTGTTGCGGTTTGTTTAGCTGCTCTGGTGTGTGTGTGTGTGGCTACAACATCTGTCTGGACGTGTGAGTGTGAAAACATCTGTCTCAGGTCATCAGCCAGCTGCTGCTTTCACCTCATGTGTGCGTTCAACAGATTCTCCCTCCTGAACACTGTGTGTGGTTTAGTATCGATAGGTTGCATTATTACAACTTGTAAACAATAAATAACAACACAGAACAACAGCAGGGAGCAGCATGTGGAGCCTGCTGTCCTCTTCTCATCTTTATAATGTGTTTTCTCTATAACTCTGAATATCTTGTTGAAAATGCAAAATAAAAACACTTAAAATATACTTAAAATACTACTTAAAATATAAAAATTATTCAAAGAATGTGTTTAACAAGATGCTACAATGATTTTTACTGCATTGCTATAGTATATTTAAGTACAATAATTAGGTTTATGTGTAGTATCGGTGGTTTTAAGGGGTAATAACCCTTTAAAATTCACACCAACCACTGATTACAGGTTGTTTGTTTTGTTCAAACACTGTAATGTGGTTTGTGTTCATTTTTTTGCCAATAACCTTGTAATTCCATGTAAAAAAAATCATTAATAATCCCTTAATACATTAGAATTCAATATGTAATGCGTCTATGAACTAATCCAGTAACAGACATATGTGGAGACAACTTTGCTTTGTGTTGTTTTCTTTCCGGTAAAATATAGAAAAACCTTAAAATGACCTGTATTGGTCTAACTCTAAATTCAGGCCAAGGTGCCTGATTATTAAAAAGTCACATTTAAAATTTCTTCTTGTCGTCTAAATCAGTGGTTCTCAAACTTTTAGAGCCACAACCCCCACGATAACATATGTGTGTGACCCCCCAGTTTGAATTCTTAATATATCATGAGTAATAACTTTGTTGTTCATGGATTAATGTGTTAATAATTCATGTGTTAATTCTACAGATGAATCTCTTTACATTAACACATTAATTTTCTTTTGAATGAATGAATGAATTGAATTATTTCGAACAAATGAAAGGAAAAAAGAACAAAAGAAAAGAATTTAAAAAGAGCTGCAAAAAGAATAGTAATATCGCGATATGATAATAATATTAACAAGTTTGAAAAAGGAGTCAGAAGAAGTAAACACTTTTAATTTTGACAGCCCTAATATGCATTTATTTGAGAAATGTAGGCTTCATTTTTTTTTTTTGCAATGATCTGATGACCCCCTGAAGTTATCTTGGGGGTCCCGACCCCCAGTTTGAGAACCACTGCTCTAAATTATATAAAAACTAGTAGTATCCAGTCAAGCAGATAGGTTTATATTTACTTTCCCTGGTTCAGATTCTGAGATTTCTTCACTCCAACACAATAAAGGAATTCACTGAAACAACAGGCTAAAGAGCTGCTAAAGTGTTTCAGAGTAAAACTAAACACAGTGTTTAAGTTTTCCAAATGTAGATCTCCTTAATAAATACATAAATACACAACTATGTATATTTAATTATGCATAGTTAAACATAAATATATATTTTGCTGCAGCTTACTATATTGTTTCCATTTCTAAACATGTTTAAGTATGGTTTGATGTCTATTTACAAAAGTAACTGTAAAGAGGAGAGCTCTCCTTTCTCCTGAACCCTCTACAGTAAGATCAGAACTAGTGACAAAAACACAGTGCAGGATTTTCTTTCTGGGGTTTAAAGTACTTTTTCCCATTTAGCAGACTGCATACTTTCCATCCTGAGATCTGAAACACAAATATTCAAATTTTAAATACTGTCCACTGTCCATGTTATCCTTTAGCTGCAGGAAGTCGTGTTTAGTGTCTTCAACAGCCCAACAGATAACTAAATCAACCTGTAAGCTAACAGAATAATCTCTGGATTTAATGTTAAAGTGCACTTCCTGTAAATTCGACTCTATGTTGCATTTATAAACTCTACTGGAAACTGCTTTACTGAAACTTTGTGGAACTTTTGAGAATCTCCCAGTGTGCCTCACATGCTCTTATTTGCATTTTTTTTTATTAGTGTTGAATATGTTGCAGTCAATGATACCACCAGTTCCCATTTGACAGCATCCATATTGTAAATATGTACAGTCATGATGGTGCAAAGTGCTTTAGCGTCTGTGTGAATGTGATGTTGTCTCTGCTGCCACCAGAGGGAGGCGCTCTTTGCTAATTTTCCTGACTTACATTCACCTGCAGTCCCTCCCTGTCTGTCTCCTTGTCATCTCTTTTTTTTATCAGCAGGCAAACTGATGTTGATAAATTCTGATGGGCAGATGAACGGCAGCATGAATCCGGTAAACACCTCCAAGTTTTGTTTTGCATTTCTTTTCTAATTTGGCAAAAATTATTAAACCGGAGAACTACACAAAGCGTTGCTTGAAATGGCAAATGTCCCACCTCCTTCTTAGACGGAGGACATCAAGGACCAAGTGGCCATCTGTCTTCAGCGTGACACCTCGGACAGAGTGCCCAGCAGCGACTGGTCAGATCTGCACCACAGCTCCACCACAAACTCCACCTCCCACAATGCCGAGCTGCAGGACGTGACATTTCCTACTGCCTTTTTCACAGCGCCAGGTATCGCAGATGAAGCTCCGCAAGCTGCTCCAGTATTTGTTGCCTAGAAACCCTGGAGGGGTGAACTTTCTGTCGGCAAATACTGGTTTGTTTACAAGAACATTCCAGGATTAACCTGAGTGAATGTTCTTAATTAAAAAAAAAAACAATTATCTTTAGCTGAACAAGAGCATTGGTTAGGTTACTATCACTGAGGATGAGGAGGATGGAGTGTCTACAGTTAAAGTGAATCTGTATTTTTGCAAATTGATGGTCTTTAAGTACTTTTTCCTGCAGTTTTCACAAGTTTTACAAGCAAAATGAAGTGACAGGAAGCTGAATCTGATGTAGGATACTCAGTAACAGCATCAGTGACATACCATACACAGCTGATTAATCCACTTAAATTTAGTCTCCAGAATACCAGTGATTTGCTGATTGAAGTATCTGCCTACTACAGTATGTGCAGAGAGTCTTTGGTTCGGTCCAAAGCAGCACTACATAAATGTCCGGGTCAGTTTAAAAGAATTAATCTCTGCAGTCTTTTTCTTTACTCAGCCGTAGGAATGACAGTGTCACATTATTGGTCTGGATGGATTGCCGTGATGTCTTATCTAAGTTTTCATGACCCCAGGAGGATAAATCCTGTTTAATTTGATGATCCTGAGACTCCTGGTGCTGCTGTGAGGTTCACATTTGTGCTTAAATCAAAATGTCTTCATAAGTATTGGCTGGATTTCTCTGACATTCAGTACAGGGACTCTCACTCCCCTCCAGATGAATTTAGTGTTTGTTTAAATTTTTATCTTGTGCTATCATCAAGTCAAAATTTTAACGTACTTGAAAAAAACAAAATTCTTACCAACCTCAGCTGGTCTTCACGTTTTTGCTAAATGCTGAGTTTGATCATGTGAACACACTAAACCAGGGATCTCCAGCAGCTTGTTGTCAAGTTCTACACAAGTCTGTTGATGATCCATTAATGTGAGTCAGGTGTGTTGCAGTAACGTCTAAAACCTGCAGGACAGCAGCTCACGAGGACCGGAGTTGGAGATCCCTGGTTTAGTGTGTTTGCATGACTAAGTTCAGATGGTGAACGTGGTAATGCTAAACATCAACATGCTACCATATTCACTTTGACCGTATTAGCATACTTAGCATACTTGCTGCGTCTAAGTAAGACCTCACAGAGCTCTTGGTTTGGTTTTTTACCAACAAAGCTCCACATCTTTTGAAAGAGATGTGTAGAATCAGAGCTGTTCTGGAGCCTTTGGGTGCACCAGCTCCTTAAGAGGACACTTTCAAACTGTTTTACCAATTAATAAAAACTCTAAACAGTTAAGTTTTCCTACAGAAAAGTAGAATGACCACTTCATGTAACTAACTATAAATGTAAAGAAAGATCTACATGTTGAAATGCAGAACTGTGGAGTTTAACTGGAAACTCAAACATGATAAGAATAAATAACAAAGAGTGCTTATTATTTAAGTTAGTTGTGCAACTCCAGAATAAATCAAACCTTCTATTAAAGCCCTGAACAAGGTGAAAAACTTCTTTCTGTATGTTGAAGTGTACCAAGGATGCAGTGGATATTTTACAAGCTTAGAGCAGCTCATTTTGTCGGATGAGGCAGCAGTTATAAAATCAGCATTTTATCAGAGCAGAACAGCGGTTAGAAGTGACTACTGGTTAACACACAGTAGGCACTATCGTCCTAATGTTTCAGTCACTATTTCATCCTCTTTCAAATGTCTGACAACAGAAGAAAAATGTCAATGAGAACAGCTTTTTTTGGGAATCCCAGCATATGTGAGCACAGAGAACAGGACAGAAGTTAACAAAGTGTCTCCTCACTGACTAGAAACTGTGTTTTCTGTCAAGGTGCTCCTACATCGTTCAAATCTGCACAATACACATTTTGATCTTAGATTTTTTGAAGTACTCCCTGACTTTTGAAGTTTTAGTTCTTTGGAAACTTTTACACTAAAAGAGTTGGACCGACTGTAGCAGACCAACGACAGGGGTTAAAAAAGGTCATGATGTTACACACTGATACAGACGAAAGCATTTGTTCCAGTGATTTGAAGCAAAGACAAAACATTCCTCAGTTAAAAACACTGAAGTGCCGACTCACTGCAGCAGCTCGACTTGGTTGGTATTCCTTGATTTTGTCACCCATCTGTAAACCATCACCTGGACTCACCTCACCGATCCTTCTCCCCCCCTCAGGAACCTCCAGACTCATCGGCCAGCGCCTCCACCCGTCCGACTCGACGGAGGACGCCGGCCACCGCTCGGCTCAGCACGACCCGGCGGACCTGTCGAGGCTGGAGCACCAGCAGAGGTCGGAGGCTCTGGAGCAGCAGCAGCAGATGAAGATCCTGGAGTGGGAGAACAGGATGAAGGTGCTGGCCTGGGAGCAGGAGCTGGTGAGGGAGAAGAGGAGGGCGGCCCAGCAGAAGGAGAAGGCCTTCAGGATGAAGAAGGCTTACTACAAGGCCAAGCTAAAGAGGATGGGCGAGGAGGTGCCGCGCTCCTCCTCCAGCAGCAGCAGCGAGGAGGAGGACAAGACGTCGGATCCGACGGGTTGATCGGCTTCATTTGGACTTTTAATGTTCTTGTATTGTTTTGTCTAAGTACCATGGAACTGTTACTATTTTTATACATTTATACATCGCTGTTGACTTTTCCTATCGAGTGAACCAGACCTGTTGGGTTCTGTTGAGGCAGAATGCAGTGGGGAGATGCAGAAGTTAGATAGCAGAGTGCTCAGAAGTACTGAAGTACCAACCAATCCCTCTGCAGTGTGACCGAGAGCTTTTCTGTCTAAGTGAACTTTCTCACAGTTGGCCTTAAGAGAGAATTATTGGTCCTGATTTTTAGGGCTGGACCCGAATAGCCGACTGTTTGTTCGCTGTGCTGGGACGAATTGTCACCCGCCACCACCTCCCAACTATTCGGGATATCCGGAGAACAGACATGGCTATTGGGACCAGCCCTACTAGTTTTACAGGAGACCTTTCTATAGACATGGGAATGTTGTAAAATAGAAATACTTTGTTTGCACAGCTTGTTGAGTTGAGATCAAAATGTTCTGTTTGAGTTTCACACCACGTGGCTTTGATATTAAAAATAACGCCAGAATCATGTTTTTTTGTTTTTTTTAGGAACTTATTTTAGGAAATTGTTATTTTAGCGAAGGCACTGAGATCACATATAATCACTACAGGTTTATACATGGACAGACTCTTCTGTAGTGCACTCATGAGCCACAACATTAAAACCACTTGCCTACTATTGTGTAGGTCAGAAAAGCACCGACCTGTCGGGACGTGACACCTCTGGAGGAGTCCTGTGGTTCTGGCACCAGGACGTAGATCCTTTGGGTCCTGTGTGTTGTGGACTCCGTGGATCAGGCTTCGATCAAATTGGGATCTTGACAGTTTTAATTCCAGTCCTTGAGCTCAAATCATTTAAAAAGTTAATCATAACAGTATGTCTTTACAAATAAACTATGTTTCATGAAAAAAATGGTGTAATAGATGGATTTAACATTTGGTTAGTCAATTTAGGAGGTGCGTCGGTTTGCGGTTTGTCAAACATTTCAACAGCTCATAATCAAACTCGGCTTTAAATCCAAAACTCGCTAAAATGTCATTCTCCAAACCATTTCCAACTCATCTGGAACAACAGCTGGAGTATGAGATCTCCATGGTTTAAAGAAAAAAGGACAATTCATGACTAAAATCTTCAAAAACCATACACCTTCTGCAAAGTCCCCACATCTCAATTATCTCTTTGCACTTGGGTTTTCAGGCTTTTCCTCCGGGTGGCTTTTCTGGTGAGCTTTCAAGGTGCGCTCACGGCCAAAGCTCTTCCCACAGGTTGGACGTCAAAGTCACATCGAGACCGAGGTTTCTGTTGGAATAATTCTGTGTTATGATCCTGTGATCTTTGTGACAAGTACGAGAATGCTGTAAGTGTCCATCGCCTCTGTTTCACCTTAGAGATAAGGACAAGACGTCCTCAGTGGGTCGTCAGAACACCATAACACCTACACACACACATTTGCGGGAGGTTGTTTTCTGTTTTCTGTATATAAGAACCAACGCTTCCTGCTTTTAGTTTGTCACTTGTCCAGACTCTGTGCTGTACATGTTGGCTCCTTGCTGCGAGTAAAACTTTGCTTTGACTGAAGAGACGACTCAGTGTGTTGATTTGGAGCCGTCAGGACTCCAGTTTCCCAACAAGAACATGGAGCTATAACGAGATGATGCAGCTCACCTGTACATAAATGCGCATCTTGGTTCAAAATTGAAGTTTGCTGAAAATGAAAATCCAGATTAAATGCGTGGGAAAAGATGCACCACATGTACATGAACACACACAGCTCAACGTTACAGTGATCGCTGAGCATCTCCTTCACAAATCCTGGGCTTTAATGTGCTGTTCTCTGTTTGAAATACGGCCACAAGAGCTTTGTGATCCGGGCCTGATATTGGATGATAAAACCTACAGGTGGGATTGAGGTCAGGGTTCTGCGCAAATCAATCATATCCTTCCACACGAGTCATTAAATCGACAGTATGTGTGGACGTCACTGAGCACAAAGCTGTTGTTGCCATGTTTCCAAACTGTGATCATGGAGATGCAGGTACGCTGTTGGCCCAACGCTCACTGTATGTTGTAGCTTTGTGCATCTGTATCTGCAGACGTTTATATTAAATGAACTGCAGATGCTTCCATGCAGGAGCACAGGGTTCGTGAATCCTGTGAAGGTTGCATGAATCAAGGCTTGCACGGGTCTGAAATAAAGTTAAACAGCTAAAGAACTGGAAGCAAAATAGTCCCATTTAAATCAAACAAATCTGAAAAACGGCCCCACCTGAACCCATCGCAGGAAATTGATTTTTATGTACAATAACTTAAGAATATTTAATGTAAAACTTTACCTTCAAACTATAAGTATTTTCAGAGTTACAGGTTGTCAAAGTACTCAGGTGTGGGTTGCGAGTTTGTGCTTTTTAATTCACATGTATTTTTGAGCCCTCATAGCTTTGTTAATACATGAGATAGACAGGACATTTTCAGTACTGGAAACTAATTTGAGTTGTGTTAAACATTTAACAAAACTAAATCCATTTTACACCGACTCCGAGGTCACAAGCTAAGACCAAAATCTTGATTTTGTTCAGCACAATTTCTTCTGTAGCCAAAATTTAGCATTAAAATCATGTAGAATATTGGTTTTCTGATAATTCACCAGAAAGAACATGTGGGATAAGAAGTCATTCAAAGCAAGATATAGCAGATGAAAGGTCTTATTTTTTATCTACATTGTGAGGCTCAACTTCTAGCCAGGATTTCTTCTGAAAAAAAAAAAATCTAATATAGCCATATTTTAATACGTAGCCTGGGAAGGGACATGGAGAAAGAAACAAAGCAGAACTTTCTCAGGATCTTGCAATAACATTTGTGAGATCTTGCAAAACTATAGGTATATACTTCTGGGTCTTTTGGCAGTATTGAGAAATATATATATATATATATACCTATAGTTGTGTGAGATCTTGCAAAAGTTATTGCGACATCCCGAGATAGTTTTGTGAGATCTCACAAAAGATACGTCTATTTTTTTTTTTTCGGGGCTATTTTCAAATACAATTTGGCAACTTCTATTAGCTCAAACATGAGTAAGAAAAACCAAAATAATGCTGAGTCAGTCAGCACTATACATGTGTACAACATGCACGTCTGTAAACACCAATGTTGTTTCTCTGTTTCACAGCCATAAGCTACATTTACAAATGCTAAAATACAACTACATTATAAAATTGCTTTGAAACAGGACCATTCGTGGCTAGAAGTTGGGCCTGGCATCAAAACGAATCTAAAAATAAGACCTTTCATTCGCTACAACTTTTTTCAATGGACCACCTATCCCACATGGTGACATTTTCTTCCAAAGTTTATTCAAAATCTTTTTAAAGAATGAACTAAACACAGAAAACACATCCAGGCTTTCTATGGTTCTATGTCATAATGATTTTAATGATATTTATCCAACTTGGTTCTGGATAAAATCATGTTGAACAAAAGTCAGACTTTGGCTCCAGACTGTGACACCTGGAGAGGATGTAAAACTGATTTTCTAGTTTTTAACAGAACTCAAATATGTTTTTTAGCACTGAAACTTTCCTTTACTGCTGAATGTATGAGGGCTCAAAATGCTGGAAAATATGATGCAAATGACTAAAATGTGAATTTCCAGCCAACTCCATGTAATAAAAGGGTCTGGAACTCAAAACATATTCATGGTAGGACTGTAAAATTTTGCACGGCTTTAATAAATATATTTAAGTTTTTATACATAAAATATCTGCTGATTCTGAGGGCGTCAAGTGGGAGGCAGATTGATTTTTAATGAACTGACTCAAATATTAGTCATTTTTGACCATCGTCCAAGCAATAAGGAAATAATAAACATCCAGCAGAGTTCAGACACGTGGAGAATAAATGAATAATTCAGCATTTAGAAAAGGACTCGCCGGATTGGAGGTGTTGGTGGGTGTACGTTTGAACTTTGTAGAGAACCATGCTAGCTGTTTCCATCTGCTTTCAGTCTTTATGCTAAGCTAAGCTAACCACCTTATGACCTCTGGCTTTGTACTTGACACACAGACATCCGACTGATCTTCCATCTTACTTGCAAATATTTCATTTTTGTTTAATGGGTTTAAGAATGTCTCGTGCACCTGCGACAAAGTATTAAAAACCTTAACGGGAGCGGTTTTTGATTCAGCCTCTGCAGCTGAAGAACAGCCATGGTTTATGCAACGACTGGTGATGCTGCGTCTCGGCCGGGTGCGTCTGCCTCGAGCCGACTGCATCAAGGTGGCAGCTGAACATCTCTGAACATCTCTAATGCCTCTGAGTGTGACAGAGCGCTGTGAGAGTCAAAACAAGTCGGCGAGAAGCTTCCAGAGGAAACGTGTCTCTCTGTCAGGATCTCTCCTCCGCTCGCTCTCTCACACCTGAAAATGTCTGTTCTCATGAATATGAAACGGGAGGAACCTCTTTCTGCCTCGCAGTCGGAATAAACACAAAAACACTCGCACACAGCCTTGTAGGAATAAGTCTTTTTTTTTTTTTTTTTTTTTTTAATGTCCAACATTTCTCTTGTTTCCGCGGTAACAGAGGGGAACAGCTGTTTCCATCCCGACGGCGGGATGGAAGGCATCCCATAATGAACACACAAGCTAACAAAGACAATCTCCCATCATCATCATCATCCCTGCTCCTCTTCATCTCTCGGTTTCTTTTCTTCTGTAACCAAATCCCTCCTTGATATTTTTGTTTTTTGCAGAGAACATCACAATTTTTCAGTCTCAACTCTTCTCTTCTGCTTTAATTTGTCCAAACCATTAATTTTTCTACTTTAAATCTCCACCTTTGGATCTATAAAAGTGGCCAGTGAGAAGAAATCAACCAGTTTGGGACAAAACTGCGATATTTACACCCAGTATTCAACTATAAATCTCGATATGTTTAAGCTAAAGAGGAGAAATGCGCCCGCAAAGGACTGAAATTTAAGTTTACTTTGTAAGATTTTTCCAATTGGAATCCAATTCAAGCATCTAATAAACACTGCTCCTCACTTGATTTTAATTCTGGGTGTAAATAGACATTTTTTTAAAAATCACATTCCCCTCTTTTCTTGTGTTCCATCTGTGAAACTGTTGCAGTGAGAGACTCAGATCATAAGAAACATTACAAGTTAGAAAAAACAAAGAGGAACATTTGGACAAAAAAAATAAATATAAATCACACATACTTCTGAAACAACAGCCTCTCGCACCACATGGCGTCAAATAAATGAGCATTAAATTAGCAATAAATAAAATAAATCTCATGTTTGTGGACATTAAAGGTTTTAATTGGAGAAAAATGGATCTGTGAAAAAATAAATGGAGAAAGAAAATAGGATTTTTTTTTTTTTTTTTAAGTTTTCTTCTTCTTTTACCGGCTTGTTGGTTGGGTTTCTTCTTGTTGGGGGTTTTTCTTTATTTTTTATTTTTTGGTAAAAATATTGTCACACGGGGAGATATGCACTTTTTTTTTATTTGTTGTTGTTGGTGAGGTGTGTGTTTATTTCCACTATCTGCATTTCTCTGTGTGTTTTTGTTCCGTCTCTGTGATGAGTAACTTCCACGCCTTCCTCCCTGCGGTTACGTTTCTGCACACAGTCATAGTTTCTGACCCAGTTTGTTCTCCGTACAACCTTGTGTTCTTCTCTGTGCTGCGTTTAAGCCTTTTTTAATCCACTTCTTGGTGTTGCAAGTATATTTTTTTTTTACTGTCACAATGCTCTTTGCTCAAGGACACGCAGAATCCAATTTTTGCATTCATTTCTTTTTGTTCTTTACAAAAAAAAAAACCCCAAACATCTATGTTCACCGCAATCCCTCTGCAGGCTGGAGGGAACCCGCCTGCCTTACAAATCCCGGCGTGTTGCTACCTTCAGGTCTGTACTCGGGGTTCGCTCCAGCAGCTGTGAGAAGAGGATCAGCTGCTGATGGAAAAGACCTGCATCTCAAAACCACTTAAGAGGCTTTTAGCGCTGACACAACTGACACATCTCCGCAAACCGGTTTTCGCAGAAGCTCTCGAGAATCTTGAGAGATAGCTCGTCTTTGAGTAACCCTCTTAATGAGAAGAGGGGGAGAAAGAAAGAAAAAAATCTGTATTAATGGTTTGGATTTAAAGGGAGTGCCTCCATTTTTGTGAAATTTCTCATATGCAAAAGGATATTCTGAGGTAATTTCCCAGTTTTCAGCCAAGCCAGTGGGAAAAGAAAAAAAAAAAAATCACTGGCATGGCTTCATGTGCTACAGACGTGAGCTTAAAATATTCAGGTAGCTACCATGCTGCGTACGTACCGCAGGCCGGCTTTCATGTTCCCAAACAAGCATCTGAGGCGCTCCGAGATGTGACTCATGTCGGCCCTGTTTATCCTTCCTCCTCCCACGTGCCTAATCAGAATCCACTTCTTTTACAGTATGCAGCCAAATAAAATAACCAAGACAGCGGGTTATGTTGTAGCACAGCTCTAAGGCCTCATTAGTAAAAACAAATTTTCACTTTAGACTTCTTTCCATGGCACAGTTATTGTAAAAAAAAAATGATTAAAACAAAACTGAATTACATCTACAGCATCGTCACAGAAACCTGGAGAACATCAATGTTTCATACTGATTTTTTATTTTTTTTTAAGTCCCTTTGGCTTTTAGATTTGCACAGCACTTCTTCGTAAATGAGAAGCTTTGAGAAATGAGTCTCCTGAATGCTGCCGGAGAGATGGTGCTGCTCCTGTAGGCGTCCCTTGAGGCAGGTTGAGTCGTGATGCATCAAAGTATATATATAAAAAAAAACTACCTTGAGGGGCTTTAAACGGTTGCTGCTTGATTCGGCCTCATGCAGAGAGGCAGACGGAGATATCAACCTTCACCCACCGGGTCTCCAGAACACTAAAGATATGGTCTGGTAATATCAGCAGGACTGATATGGTCTGGTTCAGACAGCACCAGGCACGAAGATATCACAGATAGAGGACAAGGTCACATTCATATACAGCGGATCACAAAAAAAAAAAACAGCACAATCTCCTGACAGAGCCGATACCTTTGATACTCGTGACAGTTGAACCACCAGCTTCTACGCTTTCGCAATCTTTCTCTGCACAATCATCTCGTTCCATCAAATCTCTTATAATAATCCCTTCCCTTTATTTACAATCACTTCTGGATACTTTGATATTTTCCCTTCCAACTACGTCTCGCAGTTTTTCGGTAATCTCATTCGATACTATTGCCGGAGCCCTGTCGCTATACATAAAGATGACGGGTGTGAGGAAAAAGTTTCTGAGGAAAAAAAAAAAAAAAAACGCTTTTCAGGGAGAAATTTGAGGGATTTTTTTCTTTTTTTGTTTACTTCACTTTGTCAGGGGAACGACGTCTTCCCTCAGCAAACAAACAAGACTCGCACCAACCTCACTCACAACCGCACATGGACACAATCATTTTTAAAAAAAGAAACAAAAACAAAAAGAAACATCACAAGAGATTTCTTCTTCATCTCCAATGAAAAAGATACAAAATGTATAAAAATGTTATTTACAGTCGCTTCTTTTTTTTCTCTTTTCTTTTCTTTTCGACGGATCTCGTGTTGTTCAGGCTAACGTTTGAAATCTGAGGAGTTTCGTGGTAGTCTGTAACAGTTTTTTTTAGGTAGTCGAGGTGGTTGAGTCAACGTCCAAAGAACCATTGTAGTTTATTGTAGGCGGTGGGAGTCAAAAAACTTGATTTGTACAGTACGATCCGCCCACAAATGCTATCGTATGCAGATGATGTTTCTTCTTATCTGTGTGAATCCTCTGTGAGTTTGTTTTGTAGTCTACTGTCCCATGTTGTCCCATTGGACCGTGGAGCTTGTCCCTTGTGTCCCCCGCACTGTTGCAATGCATTAAGGGATGTGGAGGCTGTCATCAAGACTGTCCTTCGCTTCTGTTGGCTCTGAGGTGAAAAAAAAAAACAAAAAACGAGTCACTACAAGTTATACGGAAACTCCTCCACTGATTCTAAATTCAGCTACACATGATTGTGACAAATGCAGGAGTAAAATGGAAATGAGCTATTAGAGGCAAAAGGACAGAGCAAGGCGAAGATAACAGACTGAAACACAAGGGAGGAGAAAGATAAAGAAGCTGGAAAGTAGCGGCTGGAGCTGAGGGAGCTGAGGAAAGTTAAGATAAAAAGACAGAAAAAGAAGTCAAAAGTCCAAGATGATGGGAGCATAAAAACTCAGAGGAAGATGTAAAACAGAACGAGACAGGAGGAGGGTTAGTGGAGACAGACTGAGTCACACAAAAGGACTTACTCGGAGTCAGGGGAGACTTCAGATATGCTGTGGGAGGTGGCGGACTGCGACGGGGAAAGGGAGGCTCCGTGGACGGAGCCGTTAGGACCAGGGTTAGAGGCAGCGGGGGGAGGAGTGAGCACAGAGGAGCTGAAGGAGGCCAGGATGGAGGACAGGATATCCAGCTGCTCACTGGACGGTTGTCGGCCCAGAGTGTTCGGACTTGCACCCGGCGCCTGGGGGTACCTACATGGAGGTGCGGAGTCCAGCCGTGCTCTGGCGTGAGCTGAGGCGGGCGGCTGCTCCTGCTGGGGCTCCTCGGAGATGGGGGGAGGAGGGGAGGACGAGGGAGGCTGGTCGGGGTGCGACGGCTGTCGGGGCGGCAGAGTTCGGAGCCACTCCCGGCACGGCTGGGCCTGGGCTCCCACTCCGTTGGTCTCCAGCTGCTCCCTCGACCGGCTGCTCATCAGCGCTCCTCCCAGGTGCTCCCGGGACGAGGCCTGCCGCCGAGTCAGCGTGTTGAGCTGCGACCTCGACCCGCTCAGGTAGCCCTCCATCCCGGGTCCGACAGCTCCACTCAAGTCCTCCCTCGAGGCGTGGAAGCTGCTCGCGTGGTGGTTGTCAAGTCTGTCCCTGGATCCTGTCAAGTTCTCTCTGGATGACGAGACCCTCTGGTGGTCCAGGCCCCCCAGCCCGGCTCCTTGCCCCAGCCCCAGGTCTCTCCTCCTGGGTAACAGATCCAGGTTGTCCCTGGAACCCCGGGAGTCCAGCCGGTCCCTTGAACCCCCGACCGTCTGCCTCCCCAGCGGATCCCTGGAGAGTTGCCTCCGGGCCAGAGAGTCCAGGTGCTCCCTGGAGGAGTAGCGGGACGCTGGCTGGGACAGAGAACCAGAACCTCCACCGGCACCGGCTGTGGCAGAGTACATGCGACCGTACGAGGCTGCAGGAACGCCGCGGTGGCCCAGAGTGGAGGTCCGGTACCAGTTGAGCTCACTGGGGACTCGGCCCATGGTGGAGAGACCCTGGAGAGCTGGAGGGCAGCCGAGACGGTTCTTCAGGATGCCTAAGACAAGGATATGAGAATGTGAGACGAAGAACTTTACAGAAGAGATTGAGGGAGCAGTAGAGAAAAAAAAAGTGGGGTTGAAGAAAGACCATTACGTAGAAGAGCAGGAGAGATGTTTTTTTTAATATTTTTGACTTGTGACATTTCAAATCTTCCTTTGATGCTCGTCGTGAATCAAAATGTCACGTTGGGTCTGTTTGTGTAATCCTGAGGGAGACTAAAGTGAGTCATAGAACTACAGTCCATACCCTCCACTGCTAAAAGTAGCTTTCCCTTTACATGCTTACGTGGGTGTGTGTTTGTACATATACACATGTGGCTTGTGTGTTAATACCTTCTCTAGAATGTTACTCATTCTTTCAGGCTACATGAGTCACTTCCGACTTTGCTGGCGTTTCTTTTTCTTCCTCACTCGCTGTCAGAGGGCCTTTATGTGTACGTGTGGATGTAACAGCTTCATATGTATGTATTCTGAGTGTCACCTGTGCTTTCAGAGCCAGATTTAGACCACAACTGAAGCACCACACTGTGTTTTTTTAAAGTTATTTTTTATGCCCAGGGGCCATTTAGCCGATTCCAGCTCAGCATGTAGTGTACATGTGGTGATGAAAGTGTAAATCCTTGTATTCTGGCTCTGAGAAACAGCTCTAATGTGCACATCATGATGCCAAAGTGTAGTTGCAAATAAGAACAGACAAGAAAATAAGGATATGAAATGTAAAATAAACCAATGATATTAGCGCTATAATTAACAGAGGCTGCACCTCCAGGTCAGCTGGAAGGTGCACTGAAATAACAAACCGGTATGACAGATGAACTGCAGCACACACAGTTATTGAGCTGTGTTTGAAATGATGCTTTGCTGATTCAGCTGACATTGCCTCCATCTTCCTCTGGGCTAAACAACCCATTTTTATCCTGATGACCGGGTTTCATCTCTCAGACAGGCTGTCCGGAGACGTTTGTTAGACATCATATTGAAGAGGATCATAGATTTATATTGTTTATCCAAAGACGCAGGACCAGAAAGTGACGACACAGAGATTTTTGTGGCACAAAGATGCAAATGTGACTGAATGGTGCCAAGAAGATATTTATAACGAGAATGAAACACAAAAACGTCTTGAAGATATAAGTTGAATAAATAACTGATTTAGGATTTTGCACATATTTTGTTGTTTACTTTTCTTGATGTCTAGTTTAATTGAAGGTATATTTCATCTTCGTTCAACTGTCCACGCCTGTCTTTGTGTCTCTCTCACCCTTGCGGTGCCTGTGTGGCTGAGTGAGGCCGTTCTCATCTCCACTGGTCAGCGCTGCGTCTGGCTGGTTGTTATTGGCAGCGTCCTTGCTGTAATCTGCCCCCAGGGGGCGCTCTGAGCCCCACTTCTGCAGGGTGTGTGTCTCACACTCCTCCAAAGCTGGCCAGTAGGACAAAAGGTCATTGCCATCCAGATCTGTCACACACAAAAAGAACACTTTCTGGTCAGTTTTGGTGACAATTCATGGAGGTGAAATGACAGAGAGGCCTGGATGACTGGTATTTTTCAGACAAGAGTGAAGTTGTTGGTCCGAAACACCTCAGAAACACACATGTAACCGTTTGTCTGTGTGGATCCTGAGTCATCCAAGTCCTGGTAGTCCTAAGAGCTTCAGTAAAAAGCAACTGGACTTCTATTTTTTGGTTCTTGAAGATGTTTTACGTCTCATCCAAGAGTAAGTTCTGAGTCCAGCCCAGTTGCTTTTTACTCAATCTCTTTGGTTTGAACTGTTTGGTTACTCTGGATGGCATTGCCTTGGCTTCCAGCACCACTTTGAGGAACTTTGGAGTTTATTCTGACCAGGATATGTCCTTTAACTCATACATGACACAAATCTCTAGGACGACCTTCTTTCACCTGTGCAAGATTGTCAAAAATGGGAGCGTCTTGTTTCAGAGTGATGCTGAAAACATAGTCCATGCACTTGTTACCTGTGGGCTGGACCACTGTAACTCTGTAGTATCAGAATGTCCTGATAATGATGTGAAAAAACCTCCAGCTGATCCCAAATCCTGCAGAAAGAGTTCTGACCAGGACCCAGAAAGAGAGACCATAATTCTCCTATTTTAGCTTCATTAAAATCATTTTATTTTACATTTAAAAAGTTGCCAAAAAATAAACAGTTTTTTAGCACTAAATTATAGGTTCTCCGGTGCCACAGGAAAGCCTTTAGTGACTCTAAAATATCTATAATATGTGGCGTCATTATTATTTTTTGCAGTATTGGTTACACTTGTGTGCACTTGGAAAGCACTCAAGATTGATTTATGACATTCTAACAGTGTCCTACTGCACAGGAGACATTTCTGAGTTCTCTCTACTTCTAGTCATGGTTGTTCTGTTTCCATAGAGGTGCAGGACTTTATATTGCAGTGAAAAATGAGCCCACAGTAAGTAAATATGTGACGGGAGCAGAAAGAAATAACTCCCAGAACTTGCTTGGATCTGTTAAAAATGAACTTCTGTCTGCGCTTCTATTTTTCTATCCCGATAAAATACTCGACACCATCGATGTTAAGCGAGTTCTGTTAGAATTCAGTCGGTCCATTTTTCTCTCTGTAACAGGCTGCTAACAACAGCACCAAGAGGTTACAAAAAACCCAAACATTTACTGCTTTATTTGGAAGCATTTTCCCAGCCAGCCGTTGAAGACTTGTTCACTTGCACGGTCCTCTAACGCCGCACCGATGACGGGTTTAATCTGTTCCACCTGGAACACACTGCATCTGTTATTAAAATGCAACTCGCCACCATTTTTCAAAGGTTTCAATGTGTTTTTTTTTCAGTGAACAGATTGCTGCTGTGGCTAAAGTGGTTGTGGTATTGTTGTGTTGCATCGAAAAGCTTCAATAACAACACTGTGTCTGGAAAAAGGCTTGTTCTCTGATTGTGTGGCCTGATGAGTAGAAGGAGACTTACTGTATTGTAGTTTGGTTCATTTTGGTCGTACAGCTGCAGAGCTGTGACAGACTGTCGGTGTGTATTTCCAAAACTAGCGCAGGACTTGAGGGGTTAATGCTTTGTCACAATGAATAAGACGCCTCCAGACTGTGACCTTTCAGTAAAAAGCTCACATCTCTCAGCACCACTCAGGTTCTTCACTCTGACTGCACAGATGCATTGATTGGACTGTACCGGCCATCTGGATGCTGCTGCCTTCTTCCACAGCATTAGTCTGCTTTTACCGTGAATAGAGTTCATGTGATCCAAATGCCTTATGAGGTGAACTATTGATCGCTTTTATGGATTTATAGATTTGCGTGTATCTGGCATTTTCTCACAGTGGAACCTTTCACAGAAAACGTGCTTGCATGACATTTATACCAAACACTGAAGTGTATAAACTGATATATTATGCATGACATCTGTTTATGTGTACCGGCAGAAGGCAGGTATTGATTAATGACTGCTGGCACTGACATTTCCTCTTGTTGGAGGTGTTTGCTATTGTTCCTACACTTAAAACGCTATTTTACACGCCTATGATGCTCTCAGGTGGCATTGACACAGACTGCAAATCGTGCTCGCTTTGTTGTGAAGAGACCGTGGGTATTTAGAAGATACCGAACACGGGGCTCGATTGCAGAGAAGAGAGTTATGCTGCGGGAGTTGAAAAGCTCGCACTGACATTGGAGCTGTGTCCTTGCAACTTGCTGTGAATTCACCCTCAACAGAAGCTTCATTCCTCTGCGAAGGAGCACTTTAACCAGCTTTCAACCTGACAGGGGATGAATATTTGATATTCGAAACATAGATTTTCTGTGGTGTTTTCTTTTAAAAGCATACATAAAATCCATACACCCTGGAGTGGTCGCAAGTTCATGACAGGGGGAACACAAAGAGACAAAGAACCGTGCACGCTCACACTTACAGTCAAATTAAAATAACCAATTAACCGACCATGCATGTTTTAGGACTAGAGGAGCAAGGACCTTGATAAACCCCACACAGGAACAGGGAGAGCATGCAAAACCTGCACAGAAAGGCTCAAATCAACCAGAAGAACCTTAATTTTGTGAGATGACCCTGCTAACCACTGCAGCAGCGTGTCATCCTGCATACATCTACTGTTCTGTGCCAACATTGCCACATCAGAGTGTTGGCGTCCTTCAACATTATTGGCTTTCTGACAGCAAGCACTACAAAAAAAAAAAAAAAGAGAGTAAAAAACTTAAATAAAAACGTGGAAGCCACTTGTCTACCTTTGGTGCCGTTGTTGGCGGGTTCGGTGAGCAGGCGCTCGCCGTGATTGGAGCGTTTGAACCGCCGCTGTATGCGTCCACGGAGACGGACGTTGTCCTCGCTCTCAGACGAAGGGATGGAGAGACTGCGCTCCTCCTCCATGGAGAGGTCCGAGTCTGAGTCCGAGTCCTCACCTGGAAGAAGAAGAAGAGGAGGAAGGAGTGAGAGAGAGGCAGGAGGAAGAAGAGAGGGGACTGATGTGCTGTTATTGTACCTTATGATGGAATTTAATTAAATTCATACAGAGACAGTGAAAGAGTAAATAGAGGAAAGTATAGAGAATGTGTTTCTATTGTTTATAAAGTGTGTTTAAGATGAGATGAGATAAAACTTTATTAATCCCAGAGGAAATTCCTGAGACAGCTTAGAAAAAACACAATTATGTAACATAACAAAAGCAGTGGCTCGAAGAAAAGAATTAGGATTTAAGTACGATAAAGTACTGAAATAAATAAATAAGCTAAAATGAGACTAGAATAGTTCAGTGATAAGGAATGCTGGCGATGTTTATGAGGTGATAAGTAATATCACACTTAATTATGTAATATTGGACATCAAAATGAAGTATTGCACCTAAAGAATGAAATTAAAAAATGAAATATTTTACATTACATTGACAATGTATTGCATGTAAGTGAATATAAAACATGGAATGAAAATGTTGCACATGGAAATTAAATGTTGTCCGCCATAATAAAGTATAACCTAAGTATAGTGGATCCATGTCTACTCATCCCACTGTGTGCATACATACATATATTATTATTGTTGTATATATATGATATATTGATTTAAAAAAAAAAAAAAAAAGTGAGCTTTTTACAATATTGATTTTCCCTTCTGGGATAAATAAAATATTTTTCATTCATTTCATTTCATTCGTTTTCATTCATTCATTCATTCATTCATACATGTGTGTGTGTGTTTACCTCCATCTCTGTGGAACATGGCCACATCCAGGTCGGTGGCTCCGGTGTGGACGATGTTTTGTTCCAGAGTCTGTCGAGCCAAAAGGTTTTCTCTGTTGGGGAAAAACACATTATTGTAAACACACACACGCCAATAAAGGTTTAAAATAAAGAGCATCCATCCGTACGAGTACAGTAGCGTGTACTGTACGTACACACCGAGACAGTAACACAGACGACCACTGAGCCATGAAGACATCAGCAGCCGCTCTCAGAGTACATTAGTCCTGCTCTATATATAATACACTACATTGTTGGATCCAATCTTCTTCATCTTTACCCCACTGACCCAAAAAAGACACAACAGGGTTTTTATTAGCGAGGGAGATTCCTCCCCGAGGCGACTTCCTCCCAAACCAGAGAGACGTTCCTGTTTGAAGGACAAGTTATCATCTGTGTATGTTTGATCAGTCAATCATTTTTATACCGCTATTAAACCATTTGCTCGCGTCTGGTCTCATTATCCTCGGACAAGTTTTCCATTCTGGTTTGTTGTTAAATGCTGTGATGAATGTGGGAATGAATGCGCGTCCAGATACCTGGCGGAGCTGACGGAGGAGATGGTGGAGGTTCCCAGGGTGATCCTGTGCAGGCCGCTCTGTTCCAACAGTGATGGGTTGTGGTAGGGGTTCTGAGCCTGAGAACAACCAAAAACACACAGGAGGAGGCTCAGAGAACAGCTGATCATTCATATTTTAGAGAAAAACATCCTAAGAATTCAAATTTATTATTGTTTTTTCGGGACAATAGTACAAAGGAACAATGGATTAACTTATGTTCACTATTAACTTTTTCATAAATGCTTCTAGATAAGTTTTCCATCCATCTCTTATTATAATGATGAATATATAATAACAGCTACCTGACATGTATGATGTCATTTTTGCTAACAGCACCTGTCCGTTGTATTTCACTACAGCTTCCACAAACTCATGTGAGCTTTAGTAGCTGCTGACCGAGAAAAAAAATATCAAAACGAGGCTAAAGAAGTAGAGCAGAAGCTCCAGCCTGGAAATAAGACAGGACACCTGCTCTCTGTAGTTTACTGTCGTCATAAATAACCCATCGTACAGTGCAGTATGACTCAGATAGGCAGATATTATGCTAATAGGTGGTCCTTTATGCAGCTGTGCACAAACGTTTACATACACTTGTAAAGACCATGTATGTTATGGTAGTGGGTTTCCAATGACTCCATCAGCTCTTAATGTTTCTAAGTGTGAGGCTGTAAAGCACGGTGGTGGCAGTATTATGCCCCTGGGGCTGTTTTAGTACCAGTATAGAGACTTCACATTCTTCAGGAAAACCTAAAATCATCAGCTGAAGGTTGGTCTTGGATGTGTTTCAATGAGACAATGATTCCAAACACAAGAAATGGTTCAGTCAGGATAGATTTAAGGTTTTAGGGGCGCCACGATAGCTCAACTGGTTGAGCTGGCGTCCCATGTTCAGGGGCTATAGTCCCCGATGCAGCGGTCATGGGTTCGAGTCCAGCTCACGGCCTTATCCTGCAGGTCCTTCCCCCATTCTTTTCCCCGACTTTCCTGTCGCTCTCTCAACTGTCCTATTAAATAAAGGCAAAAAGACCAAAAAATAACTGAAGGTTTGAGACGGGTCTTCCCAAAGTCCTGACTTGAACTCCATAAAGAACAAGTCTGTGTCAAAAAGCCAACAAATCTAGTTGAACTGCCCCAATTCTGTCAAGATGAGGCTCAAAGATGAAACCAGAAGCTTGTGGGCGGCTGTAAAAAGCACTTAGTGGAGGGTAAAAGGCTAAATGACATCTAACCAAAAATGATTGCTGTATGTGTTTGGTTTGTTTTCAGATTTTGTCAGTTTTCCAGATAATAAATATATGAAAGAACCAAAACGCTTGATTGTTTCTGTGACAAAGACGAATGTTGTTCAATGGATTTATCACAGAAAATCCAGAGTTATAGGAGTCATTGGTAATGACATACATGGTCTTTACACGTGTACGTAAATGCTCACGACCGTGAGGTACGAACAGAAACGTGTGTCTAATATTAGGTTCCACTTTTGCCACAGATGGCTCAGAGATGGACGGGAAGAGTCAGGCAACGTGGGGTTAAAAGGGTGAAATGAAAACACTCGCATGCCGACGAAGCTCCGCGCACATAAATGCACGCACACGTCCGAGGCTACATATGGGGTTCACTGCATAGTGGAGGAGTTTAAAGGGAATATGGAACACGCACAGGGGAGATAATAAGTGTTTTTTATGTGCAGCGAGCTGTGAACCAGCAAACACACACACACACACAAGACAGAAGAGATGTGAAAGTAGGATGGAGTTCCACACACACACAGAGTCACTAAACAGGCTCGGTGCTTTTGTGGAAGTGGGCTAAAGAGCAGGCAGGGCTCCGCTGCTGGTCGGTACATTGTTTTATGTGGGTCAGCAACAAACCCTGAGGGCAGAAGGAGAGCAGAGAGGGAGGGCTGAAAGATTGATGGATGGATAGAGGGAAGGAGAAATGGAGGGCAGGAGGGCTTTTGTGCTGTCTAGTAATGGACACAGTGAGGGTGTGCTTCCAGAGAGAGGCTACAGTCGGACGAAACGTGGAAAAAAGGGCTTCGGGATCACGCAGTGAGACGGTGTATGGCTTCTTGGAGTCACTCCGACAGTCATTATTGTGCAATAATGACCATCACATTATAATATTATGGCTCATTTTTGCTGCTAATGTGCTGAATTCATAGTGAGGTCAGTGATAAAACCCTTTTTTTAGGTTTAGCTGCAGAGAATGTGGGACTCACTGTGTTCTGCGGTGGTCTTGGCGGTTCTTCTCCGGGGCTCTTTTTACCCAAACAGGCGACCCTCCAGGCCTCCTGAACCTCCGAGTTGAACACGGTGAAGATGAGCATCACCGATACACCCTGGGAGAGACGGCGATGACAGAGAAGACAGAGTGAGCGTCAGAGTTTGAGGCGTCGGCTTCAGAGCGTAATGTAGACTTTGTTCATACCTGAAACAGACAGAGGACGTCGAATATGTAGTAGAACGCCAGGATGCTGTTGTTCACGGCCATCAGACCACACAGCCAGGTGGAGGTGGCCACCAGCAGCAGCAGGAAGGCGTTGCGGATCGTAGCGCTGCGGAGAGACACAAAAGTGAATCTGCAGATCTTTATAAACACTTTACATCTCATACTCAACACCTTAGATGTGCTAAAGATAATGAAGTGGTTAGCAGCAGTGCATGCCAACCAGTAGTTAGACCCTTTAATTGGGTAAAAGGACAAATACTGCAATGCAAAAATACTCCATTACAAGTAAAAGTCTTGCATAAAAAACTCTACTCAAGCAAAATGTAGTTAAAGTGTTAAAGGAAAAGTGCTGCTGTGGTGTATGACATCATTGGATCATTAAGATAAGATCAACTGTATTGATCCTCTACAGAGAAAATGTTCATGTTAGGGACAAGGACAAGAATGATAAAAGTACAATAAAGCTAAAATAACGATATAATAAAGGTATGATAACCATTTATATTGAAGCATCAGTTTGTCAGCAGCATGTTACTGGTGCTTGAACTCCTTTATATCCAGTTTTATAGGCATAGACAACATATAAATCTGAGAACTCACTGGATGATAAATGGTAGAAGAAAGAAGAAAAAAAAAACAAAGGTCGGACTTTTTTCTTTGAATTCCGGTGAGATATTGGATCATTTATTGAAAAGAAATCACGTTAGAAGTTAAGAGTGTAAAATCAGTATTTGGTGGAGCCGTTAACAACTCATAGAAATCTGAAACTCAAGCTCGACTACGCATTAATTTCTATAAGATGTCAGAAGCCAAAAAGGCTGGAAACCACTGGTTTAGTCATTTACAATGTGCTGTATTTTTAAAGCTTGTTACATCATCCATTGTGTAAAATCTCCATCTAGAAAGCACCTAAATGTAGTGGTGTAGACGTATAAAGCAGCATTCAATGTAAGTATTAATGTGAAGTGCAAGAACCTCAAAATTGTATTTACGCACATGGACTAAATGAAGAGTTCATTTGCCAAAAACAGATAACTCCATCTTTTCCATCGTCTACCTGAGACAATATCAATCAAATTTAAGTTATCTCTATGTTTGTCATTTCTACTGAGTCAAATCCACTCAACTTCAGTTTGATTGATATTATCTCAAGCAAAAAAAAAAAAAAGTTTAATGGAGTTATCTGTTTTTGCAAATGAACTCTTCAAATATACTGCACGCTAATACTTTTTACTTCCTGCCTTTCCACCACTGATGTTAACTCATTATGCTGCTGGACAGTTAAGCAGCTCTTTAATCACTATAATTCACTTCCACCTCATATCACTTCATAACTAAAGATTTACCACCACAATAATGTGATTATTATAATTAGGATGAAAGACATAAAGCGACAGAGAGGATGGAAGAGGAGTCAGTAAAGGGTTCTTTAATGACAAGAGTACAGGAACATTTAAGGCCTTAAAGAGCCCAAAACATAAGAAAAAAAAAAAAAGATTGTACAGAAGGTAAATCACCAGCAACTTTTCTGAAACAGTCGAGGCGGGTACTTACATGACGGGGAGCTTCTTGGTCTCCTTCTGAGACGGGTTGCACGACATCTTGGCTACGATCATGAAAATCCCCCCGTTCATCTGCGGCAGATCAATACGGTCAGGCAACATCTTTAATGCATTTCAGCTAATTCAATACTGCCGTGAGCAACATGTGGGATGAGGATAAACAGATGAAAGAAAATCGATGCCAACAAAATAGTCATCCAGGAGGGAAAAGATAAATGTATTAAAGGCCGAGCTGCACCCGTCTGGGAGGAAAGTTCTGTTAATTCTGTTTAACCTTAAGCAGGACATTGAAATAAGGGTGAAGGTGGAGTTTAAGGTTACGAACTGCATCAATACTGATCAGACTGAGCTGTAATTATTCATTCTTGGCGCAGTTTAAAAGACGTTGCAGCGAAGTTGATGTGAAGGCAATTAAAGGGACGGTCCAGTCGAGGTTAAGTGAGTTCTCCCTCAGAAATTCGTTCTGCAGCGCTGACACCTGTGACTGATGTTAAGTTTCTGCTCATTTTAGAAGCCAAATGTTCACGTGCAGGGAAGTCACTAAGCTAAGTTTATCTACATTTTTATTTATTGGTTAAGCTTATCTGCATTATATTATTTTTTAGCTGGAATCAGTGGCTCTCTGACAGAGAATCTGTGTGATTCGATCTCAAATCATCAGGGGGCTTCTGCACTTTTTTGTAATCATAAACTCTGGATATTTAAAATGGTATCTGGGAAATTTTAGCTTGATGTATCGAGTACTTTCCTTTGTCACACTTTCATCACATTTTCTGGGACACTGCAATTCGAGGCTACGTTTGAATGACATTATCTGAGAAATTACTAAAATAAAAGTCAGAATTTTTGCTGTTATCTTGCATCATGTCATTAATTTGATAACAAGTTTTCATCCTGATGACCAACTGCAGCAATAATTCCCAAAGAAATAACACAAAACTACATGACAAGTCTCCTCCCAGCCAGGGTTTATGCCTACAAAGTTGGGACTGAAAATGAAAATATGCCTGTATTAAAAATACAAAAACAAAAAATGAGTTATATTTAAATTAAATTAGCTATATTTGGAAAACCAATTTGAAAATATAGAACTCTGCTTTAGTTGGATTCTACCAATATCTCTGTTTTTGTGGTACAACTTGTTATACCTGCGCAATTGGTTAGGAAAGTTCAATGAAAATAACTTTTTTTGTGATCTAGTATTTCATATTAAAAAGCATTCTGTATGTTTAATTTTGTATTATTATAATATGCAGCTATATATGGATCCGAAAACATCACTAGTTGACTTCTGCATTATCAGTTTTTAACTAATGTGAGCTCAAAGATGGAACTTTTCATAACAGCTTTAATGTTTTTCTTTTTTCTTATTTCAACTCCCCCCATACTCTTTGATTTATTTGTCCAATATTGCAGCTTCAGTATCAATGACATAATAAGACAAAACTGTGAAAATGTAATTAATTTTTAATTATTATGAACGATTAGTTCCTCTGATATCGTGGTTCAAATAGAGCTTTAAATTTCAATGTGCTCAAAAATATGTTGAAAGTCGGTTGATGGGCATTTTAGCAAGTATTACATATATATTAAGTTAAAATTATAAATAAATTATTCATATTAAGGCACGTCAGAGATGATGGAGCAGAAATTGTTCTTTAAAAATGTGATGATTTGAGATTCAGTGACCAATTTGCTCCTTTTGCAGCGTTCATAAATCTCCCCGTGACACCGTTTGCACTGTGTTTTATTTGTGTGCACACAGGATCAGCTGCAGCGTGTCAGATGTTTACCAGTATGACGATGGCGATGGGACCAGCGAAGCTCCAGATGAGCTTGTCATAGATGGAGATCCAGCAGAAGTCTGGGTTGCCGTAACCCTCCGGGTCCAAACCGACTGCCAGGCCTGCAGGAAAAAACACACAGACAGTCAGTCGGGTCGGACGGGAAGATCTGCTGCGTGATGTCCTCTGCTGTCAATCACGGGCCGACAGCAAACAGCGAGACAGGGAGGTAGCACATTCTGTGACAGCGTAACGGGTCAAAGCGAGAAGACACAAACAAACGGTCGGGGTTTGTCTTTCTAGTCAGCAGTCATGTTTAAAATAATCATTTGCAGGTGATGTAATCGTCTCCTGCACATGCTCGAGCACGTTATTGATTTTAACTATGCTGCTCGTTAGTGAGAATAACTTTGCAACCGAATGCTGCTGCAGGATTTGTGTCAGGTTTTCTTTCACAAGTCCAGTTCTCCTCGACTACACCACATGTCCACGGTGGTGTTGGAGAGGTTTGTCATTCCCTCCTTTTTTTTTTGAACAACACTGTCAAGGTTGGGACAAGTTGCGGGTGCAAAGAATTTTTAAATTGAATTGCTAAACTAACGAGAGGCAGGGAACCCCCTAAATGAAGACAGGCAGACAGACGAACACACCTCCGAGCCCGAGGACGGAGACGAGTGCTAATGTGTGCGCGACGGCGGCAGACAGATTCATTCTTGAGGCGAGGACTGTGATTGTGACGGTGACAGAAACAGATAGAGGAGAGCTGACAGCGTGTTATGAGTCTCGATGGAAAGTGCAAAATGAGTGTGTGTGTGTGTGTGTGTGTGTGTGTAAAGGAAGGAGAGAGAAAAGGGAAAAGCAGGCAGATGTTACTTTGCTTACTCTGTGTGTCAGGGTGGCAGAAATTGCTTGCATGTGTATCTCTGCATTGCTATCTCCATATTAAAATGCCACTGAAACCTGTTTAATGCAAGTGTCAGGAGGACACCTTATCTGCACAGCCAGACTCCCTGTGAGTGTGTGAGACATACAGTCGAGAGGTAAAGTTTACGTACACTTGTACAGACCATGTATATCATGGGTGTCTTGAGTTTCCAATGACTCCTATAACTCTGAGTTTTCCATCATGTAGTCAAACACATGCTGCACTGTTTCCAAAAAAGAAACAATCACGCATTTTGGTTCTTTCACAGATTTATTGTAGGTCTTCTGGAAATATCTAAATCTGCGTTCTGCGAAAGCTAATATTTAGTTAAATGTCCTTTGGCCATCTTCACCTCAACTAGGCTCTTTTGGTTTCCGTCCTCAACCTTCTTCTTGTATCTTTGGTCACTCTTATTGATAGTCTTGGTGCAGTTCAGCTAAAGTCGTTGGCTTTCTGACACAGACTTGTTTCTTCATCACAGTCCACAGGTCCTTGATGGGGTTTAAGTCAGCCTAAAACCTTAATTCCAGCCTGATTGAACCATGTCTTTACCATTTTAAATGTGTATTTGGGGTCATTGTCTTGCTGGAACAACAACTTTAACCTTCTGGCTGATGATCTGAGGCTCTTAATAATGTGGATGTAATCCTCCTTCTTCATTAATCCATTAACTTTGTGTAAAGCACCAGTTCCACTGGCAGCACAACAGCCCCAGAGCATAATACTGCCACCGCCGTGCTTAATGGTGGGTTTGGTGTTCTTAGGGTTAAAAGCCTTCCGTTCCCTTCCTCCATATTTTTGGTCATTGTGGCCAAACTTGCTGAATTTTTATTTAATTTGACCACAGAACTTTCCTCCAGAAGGCCTTTTCTTTGTTCATGTGATCAGCAGGAATCTTGAGTTGATCCCTTAAGTGCTGCTTTCTAAGTCTAATGCATGTATCAAATGTTCTCTATTTAAATTGTCTCAGAGGAATCAGCAGCTGTAGTCAATCATAATCACTCACGAGAAGTTAAGAGGCCATGCCACTAAGAAAACTCGATTAACACAGCGTTCTACGTCACCAAAACTTATAGTTCAAGTTGCTGTATGTATATTTTTGACCCAGCAGACTTTGTCATATTTCCAGAAGACCCTTTATATATTTATAATAAAAACCAAAAGACTGGATTTCTTTTTATGATGAAGTTACATGTGTTTCAATGATTCCAGCATAGAAAATCAAGAGTTACAGGAGTCATTGGAAACCCAAGACCGCCGTGATAAACGTGGTCTTTATAAGTGTATGTGCACCCTCACAACTGGATATGACAGCGTGTTGTTCTGAATGTCTTGGAGGATTTCTTGCCTGCCTGTGCTTACAAGGATGCATCAACACGCTTCCAACACAAATCTCAGGACTCTTGTCTGCATGTATTTACCCGTGATGATGGCAGGAACGCCCCAGCCGATGGCGTAATAGAATCTCATAGCACCATAGTTGATGTTGCGCTGCTCGGTCTGCATGCGGTAGATGTGGAGGCCCTCGACGAACATCCAGGCGAACGTGGACATGAAGAAGTAATGCAGCAGGATGGCAACGACGGTACACAGGAACTACAGGAGGAGGGAAAAAGAGGAGATTAATAAACAGGGATGAATGAGGGAGGTGAAGTATTAGGGAGAATTAAAGAAGCAAGAAAACAGGTGAAGAAAAGAAGATGAGAGATTAAAACACACAGATTAATATAATCCTCTATATTGATTATGTGACAGTTGCAATGCAGACATCTTGGCAAGTGATCAACAAGTCTTTATTACGGCAGAGCAGGTGTGAGCCGTGAAGTAACAGCCGCTCGTGATTTAATTAATGTGGCAAATGAACACAGCTTATGGCAGCGTGTCGCAGTTTATCACACAAAATAACTGACGTAAATGTAAATGAACGACGTAGAAGTGCTGAATTCTGGCAATATAACACACAAAAATGCTTCTAAACAGGTGAGCGCAGCGTTTAAAGGGAGGCGCAAATAGTAAAGGCTACATTTAGAAATGTAAAAACTGCAATAAAAAAAGAAATAACGCCAACTTGTTTCCTGGTTTTAGCAGACGAAGCTCATTTACTGGAATCCTGAATTAACAATCCTATATTTCAAGCAGTTTGTTGCCTCACCCTCCTAATAAGGTTCAGCTCCTGTCACATTTTTACTCACTCTGGGCTCATTTTTCCCCGAATAAAACATAAATAAAAAGTCCTGCCTCTCTCAGGAAACAGTACAACCATGATTAGATGCAGAGAAAACTCAGTAATGTGCACAAGTTAAAATAAAGGGAAAAAATAATGTTTCTATGATTATTTTACGACCTTTCTGCTAACGTCACCAACACTAGAAACAAAGGTGGCTCCACATACTCTGGATATTTTACTATTTACACTTCAGCAGCATCTACAGCATTTCTCACACTCCTCTGCTCATCAACTTTACAAAGATATTTGCTGATATATGCTGAATGTATCTTCCCACAACTTGCTGACTACTTGCTCCCCTGAACACAGTTCTTGAGCTGCATTTATTTCATTGAACTGTTTATTTCCTTCACAGTCTCCGTTGTCGTCTCCCATCCACTCTGCCTGAGCACAGAACACAGTTCACTGAGAAGTCACTGTTGGGGCAAATTTCTTAGTTGCACTTTTGTTCCTGTGAATAGTTTCTTTTTGGCAAGTTTTTGAATCAGACGTGTGAATTAAAGTGATTTCGATGGAACGTCACAACTTTAACTTTATTCTTGGTCCCTGTCACTGATGGAACTGTACAACACATATGTTCAGTTGATGTCAGAAAGCGAAAAATTGGTCATTCTTTCTGTTTTTATGGTTTCTTGCTCTGATAAATGGTGTCATTTTGGTGATGTCCTCCAAACATGTCTGAAGATTTCAGGGTTCAGAGTGTTAAATGAGCTACACACCGAATGTTTGAATTAGAAAAACATCCATCCATC